ACAATAGGCTTGAGGGGTCTGTGAGCTCCAGACCCAGCCCTAGCACTACAATATATGATTTTTATTTAGTACCTAATATATTCTAGGTACTGTGCAAGAGTCTTTCGAAGCATTATTCACATACTCCTCATCATGGGAATATGTTCTATTATGATCTCCAGTTTACAGATGAGAAAATGGAAGCCTAGAGATGAGTAAGTTGGCCAAGGTTACATCTCCAGTATGTGGCAGAACCAAGATGCACATTCAGGTCTGCCTAACTCTAAAGCCTGTTCTCTTTACCTCAATGTCTCCTTCTATACCACGGCTAGGAGAGAAAGAGAAATAGGCAAAAAAGTCTCATAATTTAACGACTCAAGAAATATTAACATTTCAGTAAATACTTTTACAGTTTTTTCTGTGTGCATAATTTTTCCCACATATTTATAATTATACTCTCTTTAAGGATGTAAAACATTGTATCCCTGCCTTTATTTAAATTAACACAGACATTTCCCCAAATTTAAAAAAAGCCATGAACTACAGTTCACTAAGCCAATATGATGTACCATGTTATATATAACCCTTCTCCATCACTGAACACATGTTACTTCCAAGTTTTCACCAGTGAAAACAGTGCTGTCATAAGCAATTTTATCTGTATAAACTTTCCCTGTCTGTATTACTTAGGATAGAGAGATTAAGATGACTGCTTCAAAAGGTATGAGGATTTGAAAAGTCTTCAGTTTTGAGATATATTATATATTTATAATTTTACCAATGGCCTTGCTGGTACATCCCAATCAGCAGCATATAGAGCACTTGATTCAATACACACCTGCCAAAATGGGATTCACCCTATTTCATTAGTTATCTATATCCCCAATCCTTCAATCCTCTCTCTCTCTCTCTCTCTCTCTCTCTCTCTCTCTCCTGCCTTTGCAAAATACAGAAAAGGGCACCCTTTTAAATAATATCTCCTTTTGCTTTTTTCATTGCTGTCGGGGGGACTATTTTCACAATTACCCAATATTTAAACCTCAGACTTATCTCTATGGCTGACTGGATATGGGGGATAAATAAATGAAAGAAATAAAAATTGTGTGGGCTTTTCCTTCAAAAAATCAAAAGATTTGGACCCTTTCTTTCCATTTGATGTCCCTCACTCCAATCCAACCACAGTTCCTGTGGGAACTCCTGGGTTCTCTTCTCCTTCTGTCCCTTTCACCCTGTACTCTATTGTCATAAACACTAAATGCATCATGCAATTGTTGGGTTTGTCATTTTAGTGGTTCCCTATTTCTCACTAAATTCCTTTGACTGGTTCTCAACCTGCAACTGCTACCCATGAGTAAGCAAACATGTTTCTAGGTCCTTCTTCCTGTTCACTTCATCTTCACTCCACCTCCCTGCCTTTCCAAAGGAACAGGCTATAGGAAAATACATTGGATGCATGTTTTACAGGCATAGTTCTTGCCATTTATATGGTGATTCAAAAGATACCACAGGACCCTGCAGGGCCTATCACTGTAACGTCAATTTGTGAAAGTGGCCATTAATAAAGATTTCTAGTTGATGGCATTTTGAGATGATAGCTTATTCTGAAATCCTGGTCTCAGGCTACAATAGCAGACACACAGAACTTGATCCTGAGCTTGACTAAGAATGAAGACTCAGAACTCTGAGACTATTCAGCCTGTGCAGCCATTGTGCAATCTTATGCTTAATATAATCACAACCCTTTAAAAATTCTAGCTTTTACGGGCAGGATTTACATCTACCATCTAGTCTAACCGTGCTGAATTAAGCTTTCTCAGTGGTAACTGCTCTGTTTTTAGAGTAACATTTAACTCAGCGCTCTGCAAAAATGGAGTTCTGTTCTGTTGACTCTAGAGTACGTAGGTCAAGTGGAATTTTTGGCACTTCATTACATTCCCTGACCCTTACTAAACAAACTTCAAAATATATATATTTGCAACAATTTGGAATAAACATTACATACAAGTGTTGACGGTAGATTTTTTGAAGAACTACCAAATGCATCAGGACTAAGGAAAACATTCTAATGATTCTTTCAAACATGAATATATTTAAATTCTTGTTAAACAATCTTCTTATTTAGTCTTCTCAGGCTTTGATGACATGCCGCGATTGGCTGTTTATCAAAAACTTAGCAAAAAATGCTTAACAAGATATAATCGTGTGCACGCACTTGTGCATAATTAAACCCAGTTTATAAATTGGTACAGGGTGAAATATGGTCACACTACCCAAGAAAGGCTGGTGGCTGGCAAATAACACTTTTTCTCCCCATCTATAATGATAAATCTTAAAAATGTGAATACTGTGAAGTGACATAATAATCTGATCTTAAATCTTAGTTTAAAACATCTATTTCCATCTCTATTGGACTAAATGAAAGTTCTAACAAAAATAAGAAATTAATTTAAATATAAGAAACACGATCAGGCATTAATTGTTAATACTGGGGTTATGTGGCATGGGCATGGAGGATCCGCATCCTTTGAAGGTTTTTAACTAGATAGATTCACTTCTCTGTGTTTTTTTTTTCTTGAAAGAGGATTTAGCTGACTTTTAATTTCTTCATTTTATAGCTGCTCTTTCAGTTGAAAAAAAAAAAAGGAATAATTGAGACCGAGTAATGGATATTTCTTAAGAACTCCAAGACTAGGTATTGAATGGGCATGGAGGATCCGTATCCTTTGAAGGTTTTTAACTAGATAGATTCATTTCTCTGTGTTTTTTTTCCTTGAAAGAGGATTTAGCTGACTTTTAATTTCTTCATTTTATAGCTGCTCTTTCAGTTGAAAAATAAAAAAGGAATAATTGAGACCGAGTAATGGATATTTCTTAAGAACTCCAAGACTAGGTATTGCATAGCATTAAAGAGTATACTTTTCCATTTGTTTTATGACTTTGTCCAGTTAAAGTTACTGAGATAAGCACTCCAGTATTTACTTGTAACTTGAAACCCCTTTTATGGCATATCTGGATCCTAAGGGAAAAGAATTAACAACTGAGGAATGCTTACCTTGGGCCAGGCTTTTTATATGCATTATCTCATTTAATTCCCATAACCACAAGATACGGTTGATATTATTTAATCTGATTTTCCTTGCCTGAGATCATAATGGGAATAAAGTATAGAACTAGGATTTGACTTTATGTTTGACTCTCTATTTTTTTAAAGCCCAAAATCCTTTCACTAAACCACACTGGGTTTTCCACTGTAGCCAGTATGTGGAGGTGACAAGAAAAGACACTGTAACAATAAGGGATGTTTTGAACTTTGAGACAAGTTTCCCCTCTGGGTAAAATAAGAGAAACTACTATGGTGAATTAGATTAAAACACGTTCTCTAATGCAGTGACTGGTTTAGCAAGTTATGGACTATCCATACCATGGAATACCATGCCGTCATTAGAAAGAATAGGACAATTTTAAACAATGGAATGAAAGGCTGTCCATGAATTGCAAAATAGTTGCAGAACAATCTGTGCAGTATGATGTACTTTAACACAAGAAGCAACCAGACACACACATGTGCATGTGCTTAAAAACAGGTCAGAAAGGATACATAGGAAAATGTTAGTTACTTCTCAGCAGGATGAGGGTGACTGGTAAGCAAGTTTCACTTTTTAATGTACATGCATCACTGTTGTTTATTTTTTTGGTGCAACTGCATGTATTACATTCACAATTAAAAATCACGTAATGGATTAGTTGAACAATATGCAGAAATGACTCATCCCAAGGAATGGGTGATTAAGGAGACTTAATCTCACACAAGCAAAACTGCCCAATCTACTCCTATTTGAAACTTTACCAGGCTTCAATATTACTATGCATATATGGTGAAAGCTAAAACCTTATCACTTGTGTTGCACTCTCCCTTATCTGATGACACTGTTAACAGAAGGCAAATGAGTAACAGTCATTTCAGACTTACCACGTCCAAAATAGAGCTGTCAAACCTACTCAACTCGTTCCTCCCCATTTTACCCATCTCTGTATGTGGTACTATCATTTCTCCACTTGCCCTAGTTGAGACCCAAAGAGGTACACTTGATTTCTCCTTTTCTTTCTCTGCCGTACCCCAATCGGCAGCAAATCTAACTTGATCCACCTCCAAAATATCTCCACTCACTTCTCTCTGAGGGTTCCTCCCAAGGCACAGATTCCTCCTGCCTTGACCACGACAGACACCTAATATGTCTCCCTACTTTCACATTTGCAATCCATTCTTTGCTTGGCAGCCACAGTGATCTTTTAACACTCCCTCAATTTACTACTCTTCAGAGGTTCTTCCTTGTACTTAGAATGGAATCCAAATCTCTCACTGTGGTCCACAAGAACCTATTCTAATGTCTGGGACCTCAGCTCTGACCCCCACCAACCGCCCACCCCCATCCCTTGTACTTTAGGTTCTAGCTGTCCTGGCTTGCTTTTCGCTTTTCAAATATTTCAATATCTCTGGGGCCTCTAGGCCTTTACCTTTGCCTTTTTTTTCCTGCCTGAAATACTCTTCTCTTAGCTGTTTACATGTATAGCACCTTATTAATCTGAACCAACATTTTACAGATGAGGAAACTGGATTTCCGAGAGTTTAAGTGACTTATTTGTGGTCTGAGCACTTGGTACATGGTGGGGCTGGGATTTGAACTCATGTCTAAATCATTTCATGCTCTTTCTATGATATTAGATAACAAAGTCAAGATGGCCCGTACCAGGGCCCTGGTGATGGTTCTGACAACCAATCAGCAAACAACTGCTTGTTGAAAAGGCCATGAGAAATAAATCCTTTCAGAAGTTTCTTTTGTAGATGCTCCTTCCTATCTCTAGTACCTTCTGCCAACTTCTGCAGGAAGAATTATGTCAGCTACAGAGAAAATTATAAGGTGGATGCATTTGGAAACTCTTGTCTTAGAGATTTAAAATTGAATGCTGCTCATTTAGGAAATGACTGTAATATAGTCATTTCAGAAACATTTACAACTTACTTAGTTAGATGTCCAAAGAGGACTTTCATGGTGTCACGATTTGGTGGAGGGAGTTTTTGTACAAGAGACTTTATAGTTTCAATTCTTGTGTTGTTGTCTTGAATTTCTGGAAAAAAAAAAATGAAAAAGAAAGGTTAGAAAAGAATGAGATTTCATAGATATATGAGAGAATTTTCTTAAGAGAATTTTGGACCAAAACTTAGCAACTAAAATTTCCAATCAGCAGCCAAAGGGAATATTCAATCTAATTATTACGGAGTTTTTAAATTTTGACTCTGAATTAGACCATGATAACATAAAAGCAGCAACAGTGTGACTTTGACACAATCTTCCTCTTAAGGTCAGGTACTGAATTGTTTTTCTTAAATTTCCTCTTTTACAAGGTGGGGTGGGGTGATTTATGGCTTTTGCAAGGTGTCCATGTCCTAATCCCTGGCACCTGGGACTATGTTATTTCACACAGCAAAAGAGAATTCGCAGATGTGGTTAAGTTAGGGATTTTGAGATGGGGAGACTTTCTGGATTATCTGGGTGGACCCAATGTCATCACAAAGATCCTCATCAGAGGAAAGCAGGAGGAGGAAAGGAGAGAGAGAAGGCAATGTGACAATGGAGGCAGAGAAGAAGGGCTATGTGATGTGGGGTCACAGGCTGAAGAATGGCGACAGTCTCTAGAGACTGGAAAAGGCAAAGAAACGGAGCCTCCAGAAGTAACCCAGGCCCACCAACACCTTGATTTTTGCCCAGCAAAACTGATTTTGGGTTTCTAACCTCCAGGACTGTAAGATAAGTTTGTGTTGTTTTAGCCACTAAGTGTGTGCTATTGTTACAGCAGCAGTAGGAAACTAGTACACAAGGACACACAGTGATTTGATGACAAACATTCTATTGTCTGCTGAATTTTGTGGAAGGACAAAGAAATTCTTTTTATTATTTCTATGCTATTCTTTCTCCCTAATGAATTTTGTTTTTGCTGCAAAATAAGAGAGTGCAAAAAATAAAAATGGAAATACACGTTTTTAAAAATAAAAGTTGTTCAAAACTGCATGCCAGATAGATTGCTTTTCCTCATTTTGTTCCTTTTTCCTCTATAGACATGAATGGCAAAATAAGAATTGAGTTTTTTAGTATGCTAGGGAATTCATCTTACCACAGTTTTAACCAGGGCCTCACCATCTAGAGATAATTATTTATTGAACTTAAACAGTTTATGTGCACTGACTTAGGTATCTTTCTTTTCTATACTTCTCGCATAAGCTCTACTAGCATAAATCTTCTGATGATTCTAAAGAGGCCACTGCTGGAAAAGATGATGTATAAGAAAATAATATGTAAGGCAGACCCCCCACTCAATATCTATTCTCTTCTTTCTGAGCAAGACAAACCCATTGTTGAGAGGATGGCAACGTACTCAGCTAAAAGGGTCCTTGGCAGCTCGAGTGGCCATGTGGCCAAGTCTGTCCAATGAGACTTCAGTCAAAGTGCTTGGTGGGACTTCTGGGGCAGCTGTGTACAGAGCTGATCTAAGTCTTTAGATTTTTTACCTTTTTCTTCTTTCTCCTTTTTAGAATGTAGATGGAGTGGCAATACTGTGAAATGACCTTGAGAATTGAGGCTAGGCAGACTAGAATACACAGCCACAAGGAGCTTCCCTGTATCTGTGGAATAGTTAGACCAGTCCTGTATTGCCTGTCTCTGGGTTTCTTTGACATAAGAAAATGATCCCTTGTATACTAGAGCCTTTGAGGACAAGTCTCTGATACCATGTTAAACACAGTTCCAAAAGCCCAATTCATAATCTCCTGTAAATAGGTATATAAATTTTATACAGTAGAGTCAGAAAGAGTTAGTTTAGAAACTGGCAGTTTCTTTAATACGTTGTTGCAACAGAAACTTTTTATAAGGAATTATAGGAAAATATCCTGCAGAAGATGGTATTTGGCTAAAATGGGGTGGGGGCAGTCTTCCTAGCAGAACCCTGCTTAGAAGCTTTTCTTTTTCCTCCTAAAACCACAAAGGCCTATAAATAATGCCTCCCACAGTCAAAGCTTTCAAAATTGCAGTTATTCTTAGAAAAGTTCCAACATAACATGGTTTGGACAATTGCAAATGAAAGAAACAAAGGGGAGAGAGAAAGAGGGAAAGAGAAAGTTGCAGCATCTCAGGCTACACCAGACCCAATCTTCTCTGTCAGAGAGTAGAAAGCTTCCTTGTAGCTCAGTGATGGTAAAAAAAAAATGTGATGCTTCACAGCACCAGTTGGGGCCTATGGGATACCATAAATTAAGAAAAAGAAGTAAAATAAGTCAATAAAAAGTGAAATTGGCACAGTATGCCCAGGACAGAGCTATTAAGGATGCTTGGATACCTTGTATCCAACAATCTGAAGCTAATACCACACAGCAATGATTATATACATATACATACATACATATATATAGATATATATTCAAGAGGTGGCTGTATTTTGCATAGTTAGGGAGTAAAGATGATATTGGGAAGGGGAAGAGAGGTGAGGGCAGAGGAGGGGAGGAGAGAAGACCTTTCTAATTTCACTTAAAACTTCTGATGGTAATAATAATCAGCTCAATGTCAGAATCTCCAATAAAAGGGACCAGTTGACACTGAGGGCTATAGAAGTAGCAGCCATAAATTAAGCTTGATAGACAATAAGCGGAGAGTGGTCTTAGTGGCTACATCCAGCAAACCTTAGTTTTGGGGAACATATGATCCAGTCAGGGTAGGTTTAAAAGAGGTTGGTTGTTGTTTAATTGGAAATGCTTCAATTTGCAAGGTCATTGTCATGGTGGGTGGGCAGGAATTAAAACATTACCAAGTCTGTTAAGCCACCAGGTAAAAGAATTATGAGCTTCCCTACACAGAGTCAGTTCTCTTTCTCATGTGTTTCATTGCACTCAAAACCTTCTACTTATACAACACTTCACATGGTATTTTCTTCACTGGCTGAATGCCTGTGAATTTCCCCTATTAAACTGGGAGTCTTCCTATAAAGCTGGGTAGCTTTTCTACCAAAATGTAGTGGGTTAAATGAATGAAGAAAGAATTAGTGAATTAATGAAAGACATGAACATGGGTTAGAATAGACAGACCTCAGTTTAAATTCTATAGCATTTTTTTTTTTTTGTTAGCTGTGTGGTCTTGGACAAGTTTCTTACTCTCTTTGAATAATATCTAAAAGGGTAGTTTTATGGAATAAACAAGATAGTATCTAATGTACCTGGAACAATGACTATAAAACTAAGTACTCTATAAATGTCCACCCTTTTTACCCCCTCACCTTTCTGAAGCCCATGCTGGGTCTGGTTCACCTTTTATTTCTAGCAGTTAGCATACCATCTGGTTACAGTGAACATTCAAAATGTAGTTGCTAATTCTTGAACTGAGTTGGTACCAGTTGGTGAAAATACAATTGCTGTGCTAGCCTGACATTACACAACATCCTAAGTATTTTGTGATAGGCTGAGAAACTGATGATCTGATTGGTGAGCAGTTCAATTACGTGTAAGAATCCTTATAAAAGTACATGGTGGTTTCCAAGTCTGACTATAAGAAACATTCTACATGAAGAATATTCTACAGAAATATATTTCTCTTTTTCTTACACACATGCTTGAGGAATCAGAAAATTGGAGAGTTGTACATGCATATTTGTGGTTAAGTCATATTTTTAAGTTCTAGAGGAGGAACTGTATGATGGCTTAGAGAGGGCTGAAATATTATTAGGGAGGAACGATTTATTTTTCTTACGAAATAATCAGAACACAATCTTTTGAAAAGGTTATAGGAAAGCAATGTTTTCCCATTCAAATCAATACCACACCCACCCTTCCATAGCTCATAAAATCAGGAAATTACACAACACTTCTAAGTAGGGGAACATGTAAAAATACAATTGGATACATTAAAATAGAAATGACACCTTTTCAGATCTGGTTTATAGATGTGTCATATTAGGAACTGGAATCAGCATACATAATACAGGAGTGGTTAATGAGCTAAGATTCATACACAGCTTACTAAAGATGTGTCAACTGTCTTCAATTGATTCAGTGAGCATCTGAAAGACAGCATTTTCTATTAATATTTCTTCTCCAGCATATGGTTTCTCATTATTGTGAAGCATTGAAAGTTTTGAAAAGACTGAGCCATCTCTGACTTTTTTACATTATGACTGGAGTACAGGGGAAAGGAACCTTTTCTACTTGGAGAATTAGTGAACCTCTTAGGTAAACTGTATTCTAAGACACTAACACAAAATCTTTCCAGAAATAATTCTTTCCCATTTCATATGCATTTGCGTCTGCCCTCATTCTGTTATGATTTGCTTTTGTATCTACCCCATGCTCTTTATAGCTCAATTTTAGTTCCCCACCTGTATCCAAATAGCCCCTCCAATCTGTAAGCTGTGAACCCCAACTGCATGCAAAACTTTGCTGTAAGTGATTCATTTTCACCATCCAATGGTGATTCTAAACTGTTGCCTACTGATGCCTACTCCTCACGCACCTGTCCTCATCTTCTCAAACTATACCAAACTCTTTCTTGTAAATGAACTTCTTCAAAAACAATTCCATGCTTCTTAGAGAAGTAACATCTACATGATGTGAAATAGCCTCTAATTTTATAAGAATGTGGCTTTGTTTTCTCCTGATTCATGGTTTTGAGGGCACATTTTTCAAAAGATAGTTTATGATACTTACATTTGCATTTATCTGCATGAAATGTTGCTACTAAAACAAGGACATTTACAGCCAAATGCCTTTTAGAAAAGAGATAAGATAAAGTTATGTACAATGATGGAGAGTTCTGCACAGTGAAGAACCTTGGACCTGATGACCCCTAGACACTTTTCGGGCCTTATCATCCATGCTTTTATTATTCTTAACTTATTTATAGCCACATGTTAAATCATATTTTAAAATAAATTCTGCTTTGTTATATAGGTTCACCCAGAGAAAGAATAGACCAGATTCTCCCAATAACCAATGTATAGGGAGTCTTGTTCATCCCACTTATTTACAATTCTGAAAGAACAACTGTATCCCTTTGTTTTAAGGAGGTCAGCAGTACCACAGCTGTTCTGCT